AGTTATAGCGTTCAGGTAACATGTCTGCAGGCAGGGACTTCCACTCCATAGCCGTGCGTCATATAAATGTGGAAGCGATATTATTTTTCTTATTTAACGTATTCGAGCGAATAATAATGAGTCAATATTAGGTAATCGGTCGAAAATATAGGCAGCACGGGCTGAATACCGAATAATAACAGAATATTTGATGTAACTCTATTAATTACTTTTTTTTCTAATTAATTATACACATCAAAACAGTCTAGGAAACAAGCACGTTTTTGCCAATTACTGAAAAATCACGTTTTTTAATTTTTTTTAACACCAATAGTTTTTTTAGTCAATTTCATAATTAAAAAATATGTAAGTTAATAAATAATTTAATAAATTTGTATAGATAATAATAATAATAATTTAAATTTTTATTGAATTGATATTCAATTATTTTTTATGTGAAATTACTCCACTAGTTTGTTATAATTATTAATACAAAGATCGAACACTCAGAAAAAATCCTTCGATTCGGCCGAATTCGAACCGACGTCTATGCCAACTAAGCCACGGAACGAACCAGGCGGTCCTCACGAATTTCTCCATGTTTTGTCGTGTCTTTGAACTTGATTTTTTCAACGACTTTAGCGCCATCTATGGGAAATCTTAAGTATTTCGTCACCCAGTTAGCTTTAGTGGAATTTTTTCTGAGTGTTCGATCTTTGTATTAATAATAATAATCTTTATTTCTTTCTTAATAAAGTTATCTTATAAATAAAAGTGGTTGTATGATGGACTTATCATTAGTATATCTTTGTAAGAGACTGGAGTTCACACTAGGATTTACCAGTGTTACGGATCTCCAGGCTATTTAATTTTAATAGGGTAATCAAATATTTAAAATAAATATACCTGGACCGCTGAACACTTGATGTGTGTAGTTGTAAAATATATTAACAGGGTTAGCCACTCCGACGTCAATACCACAGACTGGCTACCAAATTTGATTAGTTTCCTGACACCGTTTACCTTATTAGGTGCGGTGTTTCCCTTATCTGCAAGAATTGCTGGTGGACCCTGGCGTAGGTCGAGCGGATGACCTCAAATGGGAGTTTGATATAGCCAGAGCAATTGCCGTAAGGAGGATTTGTGAGATTCGGTAAGAGGAGCAACTTTCAACTCTAGTTTGACCCCTTCAGGGGTTGGTTATTGCAAAAGTCTTCGTGGGATATATTGACATATAATAATTAGTTATTAGTTCCTGTTTAGAGCACAAATTTTTCTTCACTCAAACAGAGGATGACAAGAGGTGTCACTTTTTGAATTGTAATATTGATTGTAATGAATATTATGATGTTTTGTAGCTAAACATTTTAATTATTCTAGTGGGAACTAGAGCCCTATCACTTACAAGGGGTATCCAAATGAATAAGACTACCGAAGTGCATTACACTTCTATGTAGTGATTATATATATAGGCGGTACGATTCTATTCATTCGCGTGACCCCCCTGCACCCCGCGCGCCACTTGCAGGCCCGGGGGTGGATTTATTGAATCCGCGCTTGATCAATGGTACAACGGGTGCAACCAATTCATTAATATTAAACTGTTCATCCTAACTTTAATATATCTACCAAAAGTATCCAAGTAAATTAACTTTGATTTCTGGCATGCTCCAAATCATTAACAGTACTTCAGAAGTTCAGCAACAATCCGTAAACTAATAACTCATCGAGAAATTTCTAAACACTATAGTTCTTGTGTAAGTAGTTGAGGAGTCTGGTAGTCTGCAGACTGTCGTGATTGCAGCTTCAGATCAAGGTTCCCGTGTTATTGTAACTTTAGAAAAGGAAAATGAATGTTGTAAATACAGTTGTATCAGGTATAACTTTAGATACTAAATTGCAATGGGATCCACGTATAAATAAGTTATCAAAACGGCTCAGCTCTGCAGTGTACGCGTTTAAAAAACTTTCAGCCGTCGAAGCAGTTAGCCTGGTTTATTTCAGCTACTTTCACACTTCCGTGACATACAGCATTTTGTTTTGGGTAACGGCGCCGATTTTAATAGAATCTTTGTCATGCAGAAATGTGCGGTTAGGGCAATTTATAATCTGGCCCCCTGAGTGTCTTTGAGAGATAAATTTAAAGAGATTAGACACTAACGTGACAGTACATTTATGAAAATGTTATTTACGTTAAAAAAAAATATTAGTTTTTTTTTATGAAAAATAGTGACAGACATAACATTAACACGAGGAATAAAAGTAAACTAGTTATACTTGACAGTCGTCAATGGCAATGTATAAGCTACTACAATAAGATTCCGGTTGATTTTTAAAATTTGCCATTTATGAAGTTTAAAACTATAGTGAAACAAAAACTTTATATTAAAGTTTATCTATACAGCTTCTGCGTATAAATATTAGGGGTTAAAGTATGAAATTGCCGTTTCGCACTGAAAAACTAAAACAATTTTTTTTAAGATTAAATATATTTGTTTAATCAAAGTTTTTTCCCTTGTTGTCTATACATTTCTGCCATGTAATCGGAAGGTCATTTAAACCTTTGCGACCTTGACTCCACAGCTGTGTGAATGGATTTTTGTACTTCTTCCTGGGAATTTTATTTCCATACAAAAAAAAATCAAATTGCGGGAAAAAATGGTAGTCGGTCGGGGCGAGGTCCGACGAATATGTAGGATGATGGATAATTTATATCTGCAGGTCTTGTAGTAGTAAAACTGTTTCTCAAGCAGTGTGAGGTGTTGCGTTATCATAGAGCAATAACGGTGAAGCTGTTTTGCTGCGAGTTCCGTCGTCATTATTCAAACGCCATATATCATATTGTGGGTATGCTAACATTAAACCATGACGTTTCTTGGTAGTTTGATACGGATCGGCTTCCATCATTACCTTCAATTCAACGTTATTTACATTTGTGACTGGTCTCCCTCGTGGTTCTTTCTTCAAGTCGTAATTTGCCGTATTGCCGGCGTTTGCCGTATTTGCGTATGCCGTATCCTCTCCAAATACAGCATTGACAGTTTCTGCTACGTTAACTCCATGTGGAAATTCGTATTCGAAAATTAGTTACTCAGATTTTCGCTGTATCTGTCTTCACGTTAAAAGCTGAATGTAAAAACAATTGAAAGTCGAACAATCAAATATCATGTTTTTTAAGTTAAGCATGTTTTACTTTTCGTGTGAAAAACGTTTCACTCTGAAATCGGACACCATACAGGTTTAATTTTAATTTAAAGTGGCCAGTAAAATAAATCGGCAATTTCATATTTAAACCCCTATTAACTGGAAACTTGGATGACAAGAATCCGTGGTAGTGACCCGTTTAGCTCTTGCAGGTAGTCTCAATGTAAGATGTTTGAAATTATTAATATAAATGGTACACATATAGCAACTCATAGAGTTTCTTGCTCATTCCTCTCAGGGGACTCTGCCTTACGAATGAGCAGTAGGGTTTAATTAATTTGACGATTTCAAGTGTAATTTGCTCGCCTATGAAGTAAAGATTTTTGAATTTGACGTTGATATATTGTAATCGATCCGCTGTCTCCATCCAGGGCGACCTCGCACGGCTTGGAGCTGGTCTCCGTGATATCCTCGATCTTGAACAAGTGCACGGACCGCCCCGGCGCGGCGGCGTGCTCCATCGCCCTGGAGGCGCTGGCCCACCTGTGGCGCGCGGGCGCCGTCGCCCCGCCCAGCACCTGGAGAGCTCTGGAGCCGAAGCTGGGGAGGGATTCCAGGCCCAATGTTCAAATTAGGTATGTGCTTTGTTCGGTACTATTCTGTTTTAAGTTTCTGGCTTCCCATGCAGAATTTTACCAATGTCAAGTCAGTCATGAGAGTTACACTTTTTTTTTAATGTTTGATTAATTAATACAGCTCTTTAGTTTATTCCGGCTTCCGGAACAATACGAAACAACTCGATATACTATCACCGTTGTAGATATATTAATATAAGTAAATAAGTTTTGTAATTTAAGTTTATTGTACTAACAAAATCAGATATTAACTTTAAGGGGGGGAACAGAAACTTGAAATTTACGGGGCGAGGAATGGAAGGTGGAAGACTACAAAAAAGACAAAAATAGAACATGTTCTGGTACGGCAGCTGAAAAATATGTGGTCTTCGGTGCCTTCATCCAGGCCATGTTCACAAATTAAGCTATCCCGTATTCTAAGTTTTGCGATGGACTGTTCAATACTAAATATCGCACACTATGAATGGTAACGTCGCTATACAAAAAACTATTTTTTATCTATTTTTATCGCAATCTTGGATTTGAGAGTACGAACTTGATAACGCAAAAACCCCCGTGTTCGTTGTTTGCCTAGAATTTACTACATGGCGTAATGACGTTATGCTGTAAAGGGGAACGGGGCATAGGAAACAGCGAAATACTGACTTTTTATTCGTGGTGACAGAGATCGCTGAGTTATGAAACAATTTACTATTAACTCCCTGCAGGATATCGTCACTTTTTGGATAGTGTCGTTTTGTGGTGGTTTTGCATTAAGACTAATATAGTACAGGATTGCTGAGCCAAATTTACGACGGTTAGTGGATAAGTTATAGAGTATTTTTTTATTTTCGAAGTTTAAAATTAAATTTCATGGCATAATTTGTATTTATGAATCCTTTGTGACGATATTGCATAATAAGAAATATTAATTGACATGAAAAGATTATGAGGAATAGTGATACTAAACGAAATTCTCAAAAATACCTTTATTATATTGTTGTAGGTGAAAATTTGTGTAATACTTCTTAAACTATGTAGGTTCCTTTTTATTTAATTGCTCAAAATTAAAAATTTTGCATTGTGTCACTGTCATTCCCAGTGTGCGATATATGTTCTTCGGTGAGTGTGCCCGTAAGCTCCATCAGCCCATTCCGCCTGTCCCCTTTTGGCCATCGGACATCCAGACGTATGGCGGGATATCATCTTTACTTGATCGATATTCCCTTCTCTTTTCGTCATCTTTTATTATACGCACAGCCCAGGAATGGAATTTCCTACCTGTGTTTTTGAGCAAATACAACCTGAGTGCTTTTATGGCGACGTATTTGAAAGCGAGGCCTCTCGCGTTCCGCAATCTGTGAGCTGAAAAGTAATAGGAATAAAATAAGAACGAGCAGAGAAAATTTGCCGCAGATTCGACGTTGACAATCGCCCGCGATGCGGCGCGGCGTGTCGTTAAACCGCTCGGCAATTTTCAAGTTATAGGACAAAAGTGAATTTAATAACTATCGGGCTTCAGTTGTAAATCAAAATTTAGCAGGTTCTCTGTACTATTTGAATATAATATTATTATAAAGAAAAAAAAAAACTTAAATATATCTCTGTATAAAAATTATATGCAAAGTTACATATTTTATTTTTAAATAATTCTTGTTAGACTTCTATTTCGACGGTTTTAATGTTTTCGGGATTTTATATGATCGAGTAAAGTATATCCTAATCTTATAACGTATAATAGATTATGATATAATCGATAATGATAACGAATTAGCACATTCTTTACACATTATCCTTAGATGTATTGTATACTTTTTATATGACCGTTATTTAATAGTCAATACATAAACCATTTGATCCAGCAAAACACTTTTTCCCGCTTCTCTGGTCACTCGCCTAAAGGTGCGACTGAATAGGCATCTTCTACGCTAGATCTTTCCATCGCAGGTCCTAACTTTGCTCCAGAGCTAGGCAATAGTCAAGAGTAAGTCCATAAAAAAAATACTCAAAGACATATCCCTGGCAGTCACTACAATGTGTTTAGCGAATGAATGAATGGTGACTTTTCGTAGATATTCGCCTGAGTCTTAATCCATTCCAGCCTTTGCAATCTCCTATCGGAGATACCATCCCTCCGGGTGTCAACAGCGGATTACGATAAGTTAATATCCGATACTGCTCGCAAGCTGTGGAGTTATGTAGCCGAGTCTAACCAGCCAGAGGTTGTAGAGGCGGCGTGTGACGCCTTGGCGGGGTATCGCATTGAGGATTACACCCTTTCGGATGTTCCCGAGGTAAATATTTTTATTTTATATTACATATTACAGAAAACTTATAAAACAACACTATTTATATATAATGAAAAATAGCAAACCGTAAAAATAAAAATAAAATATTATTCTCCGTAATGTAAATTACTGGATCAAGGATCACAATTTAATTGTTAATTATAAAAAAAACTAAATTAAGTACAATTTAGACCACATCTGAATACTCGATTGCATATAAATTTCACAATGAATAACACTTGGGTAATTTTCAGAAAAATTACAAATAGTGGATTTTTTCAATTTTTTTCAAAATATTTTCTGAAAAATCGGATAAATATAATTCTAATGCTCATAATTATTATGTTCTACATTTAGAAATATCTTTTAAAGTTTTATTTAGCGTGAATAATACAATAAAATTGTATGCTAAAAGCAAGTTAGCGAAAAACAGTATTTACATAGGACGCACTATAAGTTTCCGGAACTGGCCACTTCCATAAACAATATTTAAAAAGGAATTACAACATTTGAAAAAGGAACTCTTTGGCTGTAGAATACAGTTTGTTTCATCTGATTGTTACTTGTTTTTACATTGTGGCGTCATTTTAGATATTGGTTGTCTACATCGCCATGGATTTAACTCGTGAAAATGTTTGTAGTATGATTTTCTACGACTTTAAATGTAATTTAATAGCTCAGCAGAGCTTCTCTCGGCTTCAAACTGCTTTTGGCGATGAAGCACCATGCAAGACGACTATTTAAAGCTGGTTTGCAGAATTCAAACGCGGTCGTGTGAATCTCAGTGACGAATTTCGTGATGGTCACTGCTGTGAACAACAAAAACATCGATGCTGTGCGCCGTATGATCATAACAGACAGGCATGCGCCTTCGGGCATCTTTAGGCATAGGCACGAGTCAAACACAATCAATACTACACAAACATTTGGGTGTGAAAAAGCTGTGCTCTCGGTGGATTCCACACAATTTGACTGAGGCTCAAAAAACGGATCGCGTCACTTGGTGCAATGCCATGCTTACTAGATTCAACGAAGGGGCGTCAAATTTGGTGTGGGCCATAGTAATAGGTGACGAAACATGGATTTATAGTTACAATCCCAAAATAAAGCAGCAATCGAGCGTATGGGCCTTTCGAGATGAGCCGCAACCAACCAACCAAAAGTGCTTCTCTTTTTAATAAATCTGGACACGTGGCTACTGTTGCTTTGGAGAATCGTTGTACCCTGAATAGTGATTGGTACACGACCATTTATTTGCCAGAAGTTATTGACAAACTCCATAAAAATAACCGTAAACGCCATATCATCTTGCACACTTGCAGACGGACAAATGAATTTTTGATGGTAAACAACGTTGACCTTATGAGCCATCCCGCGTACAGTCCCGACCTGGCACCTTGTGACTTTTATTTATTTCCAAAAATTAAGAACCAGTTACGCGGCCGACGATTTTCATTAACTGAAGAGGGTGTCGCAGAGTATGAAAATTATGTTTCAGAGATTGTTACGGAGGAGTGGCATGTTTTCAAAATTGGTTCATTCGTATGAAAAAGTGCATTAACGCTAACGGAGTATATTTTGAGAAACAATAAATTCATTTTCAATTCAAACATCATATTCAATCATGACCATATATAGTACTTTTTATTATTCGTTCCGAAAACTTATAGTGCGCCACACGTATTATGATTGGAAAAGAATCATAAGTTAAAAAAAATATTTTTAATGGCTCCATCGTTGTCGTTCAGTATCTTCAACTTTAAACAGGTGTCAACTGCCAAATTTGGAAAAATGCAGGAAAAGTATTCGAAAAAATATGAATTTTTCAAATTGGTAATTTTTTCATAACCTACACTACACACATGCGACTTAAGCAGCAATACAATCACAATGCGAACGCGATGCATATTTTTGATGATTCAACATAACGATGCCTTACTTTCTCAAACTCGTATCTTATAAAGAGTTGTTTCTTATATATCGTATTCAGGAGATGACAACACTTTCTTTCAAATTGGCTTCTCTGGGCGTAATCTTTCACAAGAAACATTACTACTACTAAACATGTATGAATTTAATTTACAGGTATATCGACGAACGGTCAAATTGCCCGCTTCGTTCTGTAAGACGCCTGCTGATGCCGCACGGAGACCAGAAGACGTTTTGGACTATATACCTTGTAAGAAGCTTTATAATTTTTTTAAATCTGGATTAAAGATCATTACGCATTATAAATAACGAAATGACGATACCTGAAAAATAATTTTTAGGAAACTGATAAGATAGATTACTAAAATAGTCTACTTAAAATCGTCGCCTTATTTTCTCAAACTCGTATCTTAACGCACAAAGTTACTGAAATGCAAAAAGTGGATTGTATATACAAATTTTTCAGGCTCATTTCACATCACATTTCCTTCATATTCACACCCTGGCTTTGATGATTCACACCCATTGACTTACAATTATATGGACGTCGGGTCCGCGCTAAAAAGTGTCCGAACTTATAGGGCGTTAAAATCGTATACAGAGCGTCATTCACGCTCTAGTCTTCGTTTGTTCGACTGACAGCGAAGCAAGCAAAATTAGACACTACTGCGATGACATTACAATTTAAATTCAACGTTTTAGCTTTTTCATATTCCTTGACATGTCACTACGTTTAAATAGGTTGACTTGGGACATTTTTTTCGTGGCTTTTGTATTAGACCCGTCGTCCATTTATTTGTAAGTTAATGCTTTGACCCATTCTTAAAGTAATGCATCCAAGTTAACAAACACCTTTCATAAGAAATTTAAAATAAATAGAATGTTTTCCCGTCTCCTGAATAATCACTCTTTTTAAGATACGAGTTTGAGAAAGCAAGGCATTGGCTAATGCCAAATATATTTTATAAGAGAAAAGACGAATCAGTTATATTTCATGTTTTTTTTTTCTAATTACCGCTATAGCTGAACGGTTACCATACTGTACTGCCACGCAGAGGTCCTGGGAGGGTTCGGTTACCGGGCCGGGAGAAATATTTGTATGGCTTACATTTATGTCTCTCGTGAGTTTGGGTGTAATTTGTAGTTCTCTACGTGTGTGTCCATGGCACCCGCGACATAGGGTTTTCCTAGTGCGGGCTAATAAAAACGTGTTTTTTTTTCTAAATATTATTTCGTTAAAAATATTATTTTTCGAGTTTCGCCACTTTTATTGTGGAGGATCTGATATGATCTTTAAGCTAGTGTCGCGTCCAACCTCTGTGAAAGGCCAACAGACTGATAGGCCACGGATTAACTAGATTGACAGGACAAAAGACGCATAGGTCAGTTCTGATCAAACTGTTGACTGGACAGCATCAGGCGACGACTTTCTGTACATAAATCCGTGGTTTCTGCTTTTTAACTGTGCAAAGACCGTACTGTTAGGTTATTGGGTTAAAAAAGCTTTAGCAACGACATTTGTAGCAGTAGAGCTCCTTGTGAAAGAGTTCGTCCTGGGAAGTACTGCCGCCTATACCTATTTCTGCCGTCAAGCAGTGATGTCAGCATTACTGTGTTCCGTTTTTGAAGGTGAAATTACATGGGACTTGTCAATTTATGTCTCAGGGTGACAGACGCAGTGATAGTACCCCTCAGATCTTTGCAATTTAAAGCTCTGAGTGGCACTGTAACTGTTATGGACAGGCGTGTAGCTTATCAGGAAAGAAGAATTTCTGAAATCATGGTTTAGAAAGTCGTAGTTTTTCTAAGAACTAACCTTTTCTATGCTTATTTTGTTTGTGCAAACTGTTCACCTTGGAATGTAATTTTATTTCACCAAAACTTTCCAGGTGAAATATGGCCTGAAGTATTCAAATACACGAACCAAGCAGCCTTATCTGGCGTTCAACGATTCCTCACCCGTCTTGTCGAGAGAGAAATCAAAGGATACCGAAGTGGAGTGTATCAGAGAGACGCCAGACATGAACCAGATAATCTTAACTATTTGCCCCCTTATAGCGTTGTCAGGGGGCTGCTTGAGACTTTTAGGAAGCAGGTAATATTAATCATATACTGATGAGTGGTAAGAAGTCGGAGTAACTTGAGAACGAACTCGGAGTAACTTGATAATGAACTCGGAGAAAAATTTGGTATAAACATGGACGAGGTCCAATTTTATTAGTTGTGGAAACAAAGAAAATGGAACTAAAATAAATTTACTTCAATTTTTATTTACATGGACTTGTAAAGTAACGCCTTAATCTATTAATTACTTAAAGGCGGCATCAAACATTTACGTCAAACTAACAAAACAACACCGCGTAACCTCACACCTTTTGGTTTAATCGACAATGTACACATTGAAATGTTGTACCTAATTATATACATTTACGTTGTAACAATACTAGTAAGGCAACTAGGATCGCAATCGATAGGGCACAAAAAATATGGTTAAACGAGGAATCTCGCCATTGCTTTACCGTTAGAGATAATTTAAAATTGCATCTTAAAATACTTTAATCAGAGCTTTCTTTTAAGTTACATAATATTGAATTTCATATTCTAGTGGGTTCGGGGAAAAGCAAATTAATTTACTTCCATTTTTATTAACATGGACTTCCGCTAAGTAACGCCTAAAGCTATTAATTAGTTGTGGAAACTTTAGACGCGTTTATTATTGACACAAAGATCGATCACTCAGAAAAAATCCCTCGATTCGGCCGGATTCGAACCGACGTCTTCTAGCATACCGTGGCAGACGCTATACCAACTAAGACACGGAACAAACCTGCGGCCCTCACGAATTTTTCTATGTGCTTGCGTCGTTTCTTTGTATTTGGTTTTTTCAACGACTTTTTAGCCGTAGTGCCATCTATGAGAAATCTATGATATTTCGTCACCCAGTTAGATACCTTTACAGGTACCAGCCCCGGCTAGAGATGTCGCTATTCATTGTATTTAATTTTTTATTGAATTGATATTCAATTATTTTTATGTGAAATTACTCCACTAGTTTATTATAATTATTAATACAAAGATCAAACACCCAGAAAAAAATCCTTCGATCCCGCCGACGTCTTGTAGCATACCGTGCTAGACGCTGTACCAAATTTAGACGCAATTATCAAAAACATTGAATAAGATAGAAATTATGGTACTCAACTTTTAGAATTGCAATTTTTTGCTAGGCAACATCACCTTCGTACGACTTCCCCGATACAGTGCTTCTTTCAATTATCGACGTGCTGACATCCGAGTACCCGCGTCCACTCCCACCGCTGGACCTGTGTTTCTTGCACGAATTGTACCACAGAGGAGCTCTGTGGAAGCCGGCTTGCGTAAAGTTGGCTGCGAGACAAGCGCAGACTTCTGCCTCGGCGAGAAGGTTTTTGGAGAATTATTTGCAAGGAATAGCACCTGAAACTAGTGACGTGAGTAGAAAATTTCAACAAATTGTAACTTTTCAATAAAAACATTTATTAGTTGGTTTAAGTTTGAGAAGATTTGAGACTAAAATCAAATGTTATATTACTTATTATTAAAGATAGTATCTTAGCTCTACAACATCATTTTAATTCTTGTATTTTGGGTTCAGTAGGATATAAATACACCATTATCTTAAATCACCGTATAGTACTTTTGTTTCAGGATTCGGATATTCTGTTAGTTTTTGAACTACTTCCAATTTTGTGTCGGGGAATGCCACCAAACTCTTTAAGAGACCCCATACAAAAATGTCTTAGCCATTCCTTCAACATTATAGCTAGTATAAAAAACAAAGATGTTAACAATTTAAAATATATTGAGAGCAACACAAAAGTGGTCAAAAAGAAAGAAGTTCGTAAAAACTCGGAGGAAGTCGGCAAAAACTCGGAGGAAGTTGGTAAAATACCGGAGGAGGCTAATAAAAACTCAGAAAGTACAAAGTACATGTTTATAAAACAATTGGAAATGATAAAAGAATGTTTGGAGTGTGAGAAGATTCATGATGCCAATAGAACTCTATTGTCGCAGATTGTTGAAAATTATTTCTCTGTTATAAGCGACGACAACGTGGTAAGTTCTCACTGAAAGTTAGCCTTAATAATAAAGTACAATATTATAACCAATTTGGTAGATCTAACGAAACAAAGCGTTCCAATTATTTTATTTAAAAATAACAAATTAGTTATTTGAGATAGTTTCAATGTTTGCGCAACCATGCAAACGGGCCAAAAAGTTCGTGCGGTTCTTGCCACTAATTTTAAACAAAAAACTTGAATTAAATGTTACATCGTGTATGGTCATGTAAAAATAACATTAAGATAATTTAATACAAAGGTCGACCACCAATGTTTCTGCGCTTCTTTGTATTAATAATCACAAGAAAGCAAGTTCGCGAAAGGTTTCGAGTCGCGTACCAAAACCTGTCCAGGCGTGGCCGGCGTACGCGCAGACGTGCCGGTGCTTGTCGACGCCGTACCTGGAGCGGCTGACGTCGCCCGCGGCGTGGTGGGAGCCCAGCGCCGAGCTGGCGCGCAAGGCGGGCGCCGTGCGCTGCGCCGTGGCCGCGGCCGCGCCGCTCGTCTGGCTCAACGACGTCATCGATGCGCACGCGCAGCTCGTCGCGTTCGTATGATCCATACTACGCACACACATATTTGGCACATATTTTTTATTTTTAACTGCCTCCGTGGCCGAACGGTTGCCATGCCACTGCCACGTCAAGGCCCCAGGTTCGATTACTGGGCCGGGAGAAATATTTGTATGGCCTACATTTATTTCTCTCGTGAGTTTGGATGTAATTTGTGGTTGTCTACGTGTGTGTCCATGGCACCCGCGACACAGGGTTTCCCTAGTGCGATTACTACATATTTTTTAGGTTTTTAAAAACACTAAAACATTGTTTAAATCGCTCCACTAGTTTGTTACAATTATTTAACAATCGCACACTTAGAAAAGAATTCACTTCGACCGAGCTTAGTTCGCGTAGCGTCTGCCACAGTTTGCTGCGAGACGTCGTTGGTTCGGATCCAATCTTTGTTTAATATTTGAAATAAACTAGTGGAGTAATTTCACAAAAAATAAATAATTTAATGTCATGGTATACGTTACTAGAAATAATCAACCTAAACGTTACATAAAAATAAACGTTCTTAATCTGGTATGAAAAAGAAACAAACGTAGTTCATTTTGATTATATGGAATATTTATAACAATATTCTAATTAATTAACAGAAGCTAATACTTATTAAAACGAAATAAATCACGCCGCTAAAATTCATCGACGGCGGCGGCGACGCGGCGCACATGTCTAGTCCAAACTGAAAAGAAGTATTCACTTGAACTATCCATACCTAATGCGACTGTTCACAACCGCGACATCTTTTTAACTGTTGAAAAATCCAAATACTTCATTGTTATTTATTTGATACAGAGACCAAGAATACTCCCTCCGTTGCATAATGCTCGCATTAAAGGCAGCGCCTCCCGATGATAAGTCCACCATCGACTGGTTCTTACAGCTCATGGCGAGGACGCAGGTCGCTTTTAAAGAGTGAGTGTTTATTGGTCAATATAATTGAATATAGGATAGAATAAGCCAAAATATACTGGGGAAAATTATAACTTGAAGGAAGCAGGTAAAAACTCGGAAAAAATGGGTAAAAAAACTTGGAGAGTGTGGATAAAAACTTAAGAGAAAGTAGGTAGGACTCGGAAATTTAAATGCAAACTAAGAAATATACTAATTTATATACTGCCTCTGTCGCCGAACGGTTACCATGCCGACTGCCACGCAGAGGTTCCAGGTTCGATTCCCGGGCCGGGAGAGGTATTTGTATGGCCCACATTTATTTCTCTCGTAAGTTTGGGTGTAATTTGCGGTTGTCTATGTGTATGTTCATAGCACCCGCGACACAGGATTTCCCTAGTGCGGGGCTTTGTTGAGTGTGTACATTATTATTATTCATTTAATTAATTATAATATATTTCAAATCACCGACACCCAAAGCACGTTCTACAACAATCTTCATTTTTATCCAGAACGGAAGACGAGTCAGTAAAACTGTACCTCTGCGACGTGTTCATGCTAAGCATAGCCATATTCAGCGGCCACTGGGTGCTGGAAGATACCCACCAGCTGACTGGCAAACGGTCTGTTCGCCAGACTTTGTTACCAGCTGCCAGCGCATCATTACTTGCCAGAGGTGCCTGGGCTGACTGTACCTTACAGGTTGGTGTATCTACCTACATTTGTCAAAACTATTGTCAAACTATTGACGATTGTCAAAAATATTTTTATGATACCAACTGTCCATAGCAGTTGCAGTGCCACTCTGAGCTTCAAATTGCAAAGTTCTGAAGGGCATTGCCACTGCTCCCATCACCTTGAGACATTTGTTTACAAGTCCCATGTGCCTGTAATTACACCAGCACCCTTACCCTTTAAAACCGGAACGCAGTAATGTTCGTATTACTGCTTGGCGGCAGAAATAAGTAACGTTGCCACCTTACCTATGCGTGTCTGTGATATGTGATGTCTTACCAAATTTCAGAATCGCAATACGACTCTGCAGCAGCCAGACCCAAGTAGAAGATGTAGAGAATCTCGACGAGCTCGTTAAATTAAAGAGGGTTTATAGTTGACTGTAATACATATAATATTGGCAATAGGTTACTGGTTTACAAGAGTAGTGCCATTAATCGCTAAACAGTGGTAGTTTCTTATGAAAGTACAATTCAAAGGTGAACGTCCTTTTTGACCTTTGTTAGTTCGTACAAAAAGTTCGTTAAATATGTGGTAGGGATGAAATAACATATATGTAGTGTTAGTTGATTGGATTGGTTTAGTTACCGCTTCGAAAATGACATTAAATTAAATTACAAAAAAGAAACTGTTGCGTTCGCAACAATTCATAGCAAAAGTTGTAGCTCAAATGTGTAAAAAATTCACCACGATATCATTGCCCCAATTTGAATTATTTGAAACTTTAAATATCTCGATTTCACGGGAAATCGACATAGTCAAGTTCGTGTACCACTGCTAATGATTTAATAAGGTAGATTTCTCAAGAAGAACCAATTAAAAACTACAGTGTTGGTTGCTCTTTGTAAATAGATATTTGTTCACATTATATAATTTACGGTTCTTGGACGACGGTACTTCTCAGATTAAATCGAGAATGTTCTTAGAATACGCTGTATTACATATACTGTTAGGTACTTGTAGTAACGGGCTGGTGTCCGCAACTCGACGTCAAGGCGCCTATTTTGCGTGATTTTCCGAAAAAAATTCAAATAACGGAAATTTATCGAGAAAAAATCCTAAATGAAAAAAATATAATTTCGAGGCTCATTGTTATGTTCTACGTGTAGAAATAACTTTTGAAGTTTTATTTAGCGTGAATAATAAAATAAACTTTATAGCTAAAAGCCACTTAGTAGCAGCGAAAAAAAACCTGTTTAATGGTCCAACGTTTTCATTCAGGAACTTCAACGTTTGACAGGTGTCAACATCAATTAAACTTCAACGTTTGACGGGTGTCAACATCAATTAATGTGGAAAATTGAGGAAAAATGGAAACGTATTTATTTTGCTGAAAAATAAGATTTTTTTAAAAGGAGATTTTAAAAATACTCAGCAGTAATTATGTAATTTAAAAAATAGAAGAGCTTGTATGAAATAAAAAAGAGAGCGTAAAAACAAGACAGGTTTGTTGGATCGTTCGAAGTGGCGCCAGATTATTTTTTAATTTTATTCATGACCTTGGATTCTAATATTGATAATTCTAATATTGATATCTGCCTACAAGGGCATGAGCATATTGTATGTATGATTTTTTTTTTGTAATGATTTATACAAAAATGAAACACTAAAAAAAACTTCTATCTGACAGGACTCGAACCTGCGTCAGTAAGCCAAACAAGGGCCACCATCTACCAACTGAACTACAGATCGAGTAGCAGACCTTGCGAATTTCTCTAACATATTTGTTACAGATTTTTTGTATTAAGTTTCTTCTCTATCACTGTATTTTAGTATTTTCGATATTTTTTTTTTAGATGTTGGAATGGTTAAGCTACACGCGCGGCGCTACCCGCGACGCAGCCACGGCGCAATGTTGTCAAAGAGCGCTGCTCGCGTTGCGACACACGCAGCCTTTTAATCAGCAAAAGATTTGGAAGAGATTGTATGGCCCTTTATTTTGTATAGGGTTACTTCTAGAATACAGCCTCGCAGTACTATATTACTAACATCATAAACAATAACTTCTGTGCCGTGACTTTTTACAAAACATAATTTACCTTAAATAAACTTTTAAGTTTTCGTTGTATGTAACAACATACTATCTGGTACTATTTAAGGCAAAGTATTTGAAGTATAAGTTCTACGGGAGGTGAGGTGAGGGGGTCGCCTCTCGCGTCCCGCAGTCTGTTCGCATAAAATTAATATGAATAAAATAAGAACTGGCGGAGAAAATTTGACACTGATCCAATGTTGACAAGCGCCCGATGGCTACTGACTGGGCAGCGGAAAGCGCGGCGTGTCGTTAAACTGGCAATTTTCAAGTTTTGGTTTAAATGTGAATTTAATAAATGTAGAGCTTCAGATGAAAACCATAATTTAGCAGGTTCTTTATAGTATTTAAAGAGAAATGTCTCCATATAAAATTATGTGCAAAGTTAGATATTGTATTCTTAAATAATTCGTTTTAGAGAGTATGATCGGGTAAAGTACATCGAATTAATACATTCTTTAGACAATATTCTTAGGTGTATCGTATATTTTTATAGGACCGTTATCTAATAGTAAATACTTAAATGATTTGTCTACCAAAACGCTTCTTCACCTTAAATTGTTTTTATTTTGGCTTGAAAGTAAAATGTCATGAATTATTAAAAGGTGTTAACAATAGTTGTTGTTTCAAATGATCTTAGTAATATAGTCCTGCGAGGACTTTGGTATTTTACAAACAATTCTGTATAATTTTTCAAAACTTTACAACTTTTTAAAACTTTTAACAAGGCTAACAAAAATAGCATTTTGTTTCAGAGACTTCGGTAAGACGATCTGCAACCTGGATGACTAATTAATAATTTGACTATATTTTAAGTTTTATTGTTCTATACATAATACGAGATTAAAAAAAAAATATTTCTTGAAAAATACTTCAGTCGAAACATTAGAAATAATAACGATGTTTTGTATTGTTATTGTAATTTTTATGTGGAATAAAGAATATTTAATTCATTCTTGTTATTTATGAATTTTATTATTTTCTACGCTACGTTAGGTATTTTTAGACATTTCTTTTTCTTGTTTAAAGGAGACTGGAGAAGTGCCGGCTCTGTTGCAACCGAATAAGGTAATAGGTTAAGGTAATAGTAGGTTAGCAATTAAAACACAAATCACAGATTTAAAATTATATTTCGCTCTTTCCTATGTGTACTTATTCACGACCGTGAGGACGTGGCCTAACCGTTTATACTGTGGATTCTGGATGAGGAAGTCCCAGGTTCGATTCCCGGCAAGATCAAAGACCCCGGTAAGGCCAGAATTTCGACATGTGCTCTTACAACGTTTATTCTAATATTTCGTATATTACCAATATAACATAAAATAAAAACACAAAACAACAATTTATTGAAATGTTTTGTATGTACCACGTTTAGATAATTATAGTCCGTCTTTTTTGAAGACGGAGTAAAACGATATATTTGTAGGGTTTTCATAAAATTTTAAGTAGTTATGTAGTTGTTGTCTTGTTGTCGATAGTTCTATCGATAAGATTGTGAGACAAGATAACATTTTCCCAAAAATCACTGAATTGTGAATGTTACAGCGTTCTAATGATTACTAATTGTGTTATTGCCTTCTTTATTCTTATTTTGACGGTTGATCTACTAGTATCGAAATCAATTATATATATTATTTCATATATATTTTAACAAGAATAGTCGGACTAAATTATCTATATTAAAATGAAAAAGTAACATATGTCTCCTTTTGGTATTTTTCACAAACACAGTTCAAAATACAGTGATGAATAATGGGTCGAGGATTGAGTCTGCTATTTATTTCAGAAGCGTGACCAATAAATATTCAGGCGATAGCCGATAGAATATTTATCCACTGCAATCAGCAGCAGCAATGCAGCTGCCCTCAAGCGGGCAACACTTTTGCGCAATGAACTGTCATTTTACTCCGTCTTCCAAAAAGACAGACTATATATCTTTGAAGTTTTATTTAGCGTGAATTATAAAATAAAATGATTGGATAAATCAATAATACCGACCCGAATTTACTTTTGCAGTAGTCTCTGGACATTGGCGATGTATAGTGTTTGTTTTGTTCGCTGTTGTCCAATTATTTTAAATCTCGTTTTTCTTCAGACTTCTTTGCTTTAAGACAATTTTATTTTATAATTCACGCTAATTAGAACTTCAAAAGATATTTGTGAACGCAGAACGCAACATGAACGTAATTTTTCGTATAATTACTCAATACGACAGCGAAGATCGCCATACTTTTTACATTACATTTATCTTAGCGGAACACTCGATACTGGCGAAATCCTAAAAGGGCACCACCGCTAATAATTAAAAAGAAGAAGAAAAAATATTATTTTTTCCTAATGGGAAGTCCATGACACTAAAGGACAAAAGAAAAAATAATTGATTATAATTTTTATACAGGGTGTAACCGCAAGGTGTAGTCATATTAAAGGAGCCAAACCTATACTTGATCTAGACCCTCTATGCAAAATATCAAATAAAAATAAGTGACTTTTAATGTTGATATAAGTTTAATTATGTTTGTATAAATAGTGATTGTCCGAAACAACCACTGCGTCACAACTCTATTGCTAGTTACGTTACTACGACTTCACAAATTCATTAATGAAACCTGGGCGGCCGCAAGCGGGACGAAAGAACAGCTGACTACAATTGAAATGCCACTGTAAAAACATGATTTGAATATGTTGATAACACGTTAATATTAAGTAACAAAATCTTTAAATACCTAGAAAAATCGAATTATTTCTAACAATATTATTTTATGCCATACCTAGGTACGTACTTATTTACATACAATTTAAAGGATATTTATTTACTTATTAAGCCCGTAGTTACGCACGCCTTCGTCGTATACACATTCTACATAATTTTGTATTAATACATTTATTTACGACAATTTTACAATAGTGGATACTTTTTTAATTGGTACTTACCTACTGTGCAATTCATACACGTTTTAATGAATTTCCTACGAATTGTAATTCACTGTTGTACAATGTACGAAATATTGACTTGTTTACGATAATTTTGAATAATAAGTACAATCACTGCACGCACTGCTGGCACATTTCACACATTTACAGGTAAGGTTCAAAATGCCGACCTCCATGCAATATGCATATTTCCGTGCGTCGGTACAGAGACTGCTCTACTCTTTGAAGCATCTGCCGAGTGATTTGACTAAACGCCATTTCGATCCGCTGCCTCATTTCTTCTGCGCTTTCACAGGACTCCGCATAAACAATATTTTTATATGACCCCACAAAAAAAATCGAGCGGTGTCAAGTCTGGGGACCACGCTGGCCAGGGCACAGGACCTCCCCGCCCAATCCACTGCGGGAAACGGTCGTTCAGATGGGAACGTACATTTCGAGCAAAATGTGCGGGTGCTCCATCGTGCTAGAAAGTCATCCTGTGTTCCATCACGAGTCTCACGTATTGTGTCACTGGCAGGGCCATCAGAACGTCATCCAAGTCTTCTGTTAGGAATCTTAAATAATTGGCCCCATTCAGACTTGCCGGCAAAAACACTGGACCGATGACGGCACAACCTATTATACCAGCCCACACGTTAATCCGCCACTGGTGTTGAAAATTTGATTCCCTTGATACGCGGGGATTCAAATGAGTCCAAAAATGTTCATTATGCATATTGATAATGCCCGCACGCGTAAATGACGCCTCGTCTGTCTACAGTACCGACGAAGCGAAGTCGTGAGACCTCCCAACCTGGTCGCGGTACCAGCGGCAAAATGCCAAACGTAGATCATAGTCCGCTTGTAACAGCTCCTGCGTTCTTTGAAAATGGTATGGGTGCTGGCCATCATCCCGTAGCACACGCCACACACTCATATGGTTCACACCACCAAAGGCTGCCGCAGCACGACGAGTACTTGTCTTTGGATTGCCGAGAAAATGTTCCAAAACATCTGCCTCGAATTCTGGGTCTCGTGAACTCGGCCGGCCTTCAGAACTGGAACCACGGAACGATCCACTATTATGAAGTCTCATAACCATCTTCCTGAAGCATTCCACAGTAGGAAATGGTCGACGTCGATTTTCTGGGACGCCATCAATAAACGTTGCCCAATAAATTTGGCGAGGCTGGCGCAAGCTCCCATCGGCTGCGCCTACGCACAACATCATCTCTTAGTAATCACTATTGCTTAAGCGTGACATAGTTTAAATAAACACAAAAACAAGACACAAACAAAACGATGACACCTATTTAGTCCTCACAACGCAAACGGCAATTACAGACTGTTACAAAAAATTAAAAAATAGCGCCTCTGCCTCAGCGGCGGCACATCAAAGGACGCCGACTGAAACGCAAATTTTGGAATATAGGGTAACGTTTTCATAATGTACCTACAGGATGAAATTAAAATTATTACCATCCTTTTAAAATAAGACCCTTCTCCTGATACAAATTACATCATTACATACACATTAAACGAATACCTATATCCTACGTCTACGACCTTCAACGTTACTCTGCATACGCCTTTGTTTGTAAACAAGCTCTGACCATCACCCGTACCACTTCCACACAACGCAAGAACTGACTGGGTGATTACGGATATACTGCACTAAGGAGGCAGTCACCCATCGGAAACTCACGACGTCCGAAACGAAAGCCTAACACACTAACCACTACACCATGGAGGCAGTCGACTATAGGAATCAAATCCACGACCTCCGAAACGAAAGCCTAACACTCTAACCACTACACCATGGAGGCAGTCGACTACC